CTCCTCATTTCCCTGGTAACAAATGAGACAGGATGAAGCGCTCCAGTGTTTCTGCAGTATTAATGAAATCATTTGGACTCTCATATTGATGTATGAATCAGTGCTGGCGACTCTTTGATATAAACACAGCTTGATTCATGCTGGATAACATTATATATCTGCAGCCTGTGCTTAATCAATAAGGCAGCGTTGATGAATTTAACATAATTAGAGCTGCTGCAAACATGAAAACTGTGGCAGCATTTCCCTGCTCCTCTGCATCAAATCGATTGTCTTGGAAAACAACAAACACTTCACACTTGAAGCGGATCGCCATGTTTTATGTGTGCATATGGTTTCAAATTGAGAGGAAAGAGCAGTGTCAGGTGTGTGAACATGTTGGACTGCAGACTCATATTCCTGACACTTTGCATTATGGGGATTTTCTGCAGGTACAGCAGTCATCTGAAGGTGAAGGAAGTGGTTTTGTTGCCCACTAGCGCCACCACATGGACATTATGAGGTACTGTAGGGGCAGTGATGCTCCCTAAGATAAAATAAGAGGTACTTTATTGATGCCAAATTGGGAATTTTTTGCATTTCAACAACAAAACAAAACAAGGCATTACACACAAGTATAAATTAAAGAGTCGAACTAAACAATACCAGAAATTAAACATCTCAAACAACAGCATTAAAAAGTAGAAAATATACAGTAGCACGTGAAGATAGAAACAAATCTATAAACTTTGACAATGGTGAGATCCATCTTGAGTTCCTGTCCCCAGTGAACGCAGCTTTTATATTAAGCTTTGTGATAACATGTCAATATGTTGTTCACTTAAGGGCAGAATGTAAAGCTTCTTGGACTATTTGTATTGTTTTATGTCTTATATATATATTTATTATGTTTCATTGTTGGAGGAGCCTTGGACTTCACACTTTGATTGCCAAACTGCAGCTACGGTGCATATGACAATAAAACCTTTGAATCTTGAATCTAAAAGTGTTTTTGTTGCATTTCTTGCTCATAGAGTAGAGCAGCGATTATGTATTTTTCTAAGTCGACCCGATGGCATCCCTTCAGAAAAAGTCATCTCTATAGTATCTATAGAAAACACAATACACAGAATCGATAAGAATACACCAACCTACTACTAAATAAATAATGTTATGTAACTAGATGTCTCCCATGAATCGGTAGATGTAGTTTGTGCAGAAGTGCTGACCACAGACAGGAAGTGGATGTGTGTCGTCCTGCAGTTTGGACTGAGCTCTCATTAGCACAGAGCTAGTCCAGCGCTCTGATGGTATCACACACTCCTGTTATCACTACACACACTCTCTGATGTTAGAGAACACACATCTGATCAGTCTGACGAGTGTGTTTGTGTTAGTGCACTACTACGAGACCTTCAGATACAAGAGTCTAAAGCTTTATCGACAAGGCTGGACATGTTGATTATATGTCGAAGGAGAAAAGTGTTGAAGGACAGACGACTGATTCTGCTTTTCTTTTGCAGATACAATGCAACGTTGTTTTAATTCTCCAGTGATATGTTTTGTTAAAAGTCTGTTTCCTTGTTTCTTAGCTGAACATGTGTCCTTGTTGATGTTGCAATGGAAGCTGCTGTGATGCAAGAAAAGTTTCAGACTTGATCTGACAATAAAGTTTCATTTCATCATTTTCTATCGTATTCTTTTAAATTGTATTGAATCCTACCTTTTCTTACTGAGTCGTATCAAATAGATCGAATCAAATTGTATCGTAATGTATCGTTTCAAATTGTATCGAATCAAATCACAACGATCGAATGGTATCGAACCGTATTGTATTGAATAGTTTCAAATGGTATCGTGTCTTATCGTATCGTTTCATATTGTATTGCATCAATTTGTATCTAATGTTATCACATTGAATCACATTGAATCACATTGAATCGCATTGAATCACATTGAATCACATTGAATCGCATTGAATCACATTGAATCACATTGAATCACATTGAATCGCATTGAATCGCATTGAATCACATTGAATCACATTGAATCACATTGAATCGCATTGAATCACATTGAATCGCATTGAATCGCATTGAATCGCATTGAATCACATTGAATCACATTGAATCACATTGAATCACATTGAATCACATTGAATCGCATTGAATCGCATTGAATCACATTGAATCGCATTGAATCGCATCGAATCACATTGAATCGCATTGAATCGAATCATATAATATATTATGGTTTTGTTTCGTATCTTAACGTATCGTGTTGAATCTAACCTTAGTGTATCTTATCTATCGTATCGCATTAAATCACATGATGCTGCATCACATCGTATTGCATCAAATCGCATCGCATCATATCATGTCGTGTTGCAACGTATCCTTTTGTATCGAACCATATGGTTTTGCATCAAATTGTATCTTATCTTATCATATCGTCTCAACTCGCATCCCAATCAGATTGTATCGTATCGTTCTAATCATATATCATATCGCATCCCAATCAAATCGAATCGGATCGAATGCGTGCTAGGACTTTTTCCTTTATTCATAATTTGAGTTACCTCAGAAAGTTGGGATTTTTTCTTGTATTTTATTTGATAACTATTCTCTGCATCCAAAAAAACAAACATTTCCCATTCATTATTTTCTATAATGCAGCTCCAGAATGTAAACTGAATGTCACCAGAGGTTATCTGTGAATCACATGTTGTAATTGATCATTCAGTTTAAACCCAGTGGTTTGTTCCTGTCATTATGGACTGTATTGTTTTACTGCTGCAATGCGTCATCTGTGTCAGCGGGGATCAGAGAACACATTAACCCCGTCCTCTGAGCTGGTGAGAAACACAAACACACATCTTACAGACCTCATGCAGCGATGAAACACTACTATCTATCTATGGGAACATTTATCATGTCAAAAAACACATTTACAACCTTAATATATTGTTTTTATATACATCTTTTTTTTTTTTCCTGCTTCAGTTGATATTCAGTGTCTCATATGATGTGAGCTTACTGCCCTCTGCTGGTTTAATTATCAATGCAAAATACCCTACAGCAGTGTTGGAGTACATTTTCTCAAATACTGCTGTTCAGATAAAAAACATTTGAGGTGCTTTTACTTTATTAGCGTGCACCCATTGTATACGACTTTATAATTATATTCCACTGCCTTATACTTTTTACACCACTACATTAATTCAATTAATCAATTCAAGGATTGTACATATGAAAATGCTATACATATGTATTTAAAAATATATAATATAATTTAAAAGGATATATAATAGGATAATGCAGTACTTTACTATTAATGTATCCAGTCGTATATATAGTAAAACATTTGATACACATGTATGTTGTGTTATATAACACAACATAATATAATATAGTATATTCAAAAATATAAATATGAAAAATAATTGGCAACCTTATGCTCAGCGCAAGTTACTACTCTCTCTCCTCTCAATAAGTGATCGGGGGCGTCACTCCCCAGCTTAACCAATCACTTCGCTCTATTCCCACAAGCCTATCATAGCGCTCTATTAACCCTTTAAAATCTGCTCTCCCGCCTCTGACAGCTGTCATTTCAGGTGACTCGACGCAACCCTCCTCCACCCCTTTTCACCTCCTGTCCCTCTGAATCCAGGGTCAAGCTAAGCCCCTCCCCTTCAGACCGACCCCAACCATCCATTCACCACCACCAGGGTCAAGCTAAGCCACTCCCCTTCAGACCGACCCCAACCATCCATTCACCACCACCAGTGTCAAGCTAAGCCCCTCCTCTTCAGATCGACCCCAACCATCCATTCACCACCACCAGGGTCAAGCTAAGCCCCTCCCCTTCAGACCAACCCCAACCATCCATTCACCACCACCAGGGTCAAGCTAAGCCCCTCCCCTTCAGACCGACCCCAACTAACCATTCACCACCACCAGGGTCAAGCTAAGCCCCTCCCCTTCAGACCGACCCCAACTATCCATTCACCACCACCAGGGTCAAGCTAAGCCCCTCCCCTTCAGACCGACCCCAACTATCCATTCACCACCACCAGGGTCAAGCTAAGCCCCTCCCCTTCAGACCGAACCCAACCATCCATTCACCACCACCAGGGTCAAGCTAAGCCCCTCCCCTTCAGACCGACCCCAACTATCCATTCACCACCACCAGGGTCAAGCTAAGCCCCTCCTCTTCAGACCGACCCCAACCATCCATTCACCACCACCAGGGTCAAGCTAAGCCCCTCCCCTTCAGACCGACCCCAACCATCCATTCACCACCACCAGGGTCAAGCTAAGCCCCTCCTCTTCAGACCGACCCCAACCATCCATTCACCACCACCAGGGTCAAGCTAAGCCCCTCCTCTTCAGATCGACCGCAACCATCCATTCACCACCACCAGGGTCAAGCTAAGCCCCTCCCCTTCAGACCGACCCCAACCATCCATTCACCACCACCAGGGTCAAGCTAAGCCCCTCCCCTTCAGACCGACCCCAACCATCCATTCACCACCACCAGGGTCAAGCTAAGCCCCTCCCTTTCAGACCGAACCCAACCATCCATTCACCACCACCAGGGTCAAGCTAAGCCCCTCCCCTTCAGACCGAACCCAACTATCCATTCACCACCACCAGTGTCTAGACCCCGGGGGGTTTCATCGGACCGGTTCTCCCCTCCAGAATGAGACTCCTGCACAACGGGGCCTAATCGCCAAAACTCCATTACATTCATTTGTGTATTCCTGGCTATAAATATGTATTCTTACATCAACACGTCTCTCCTGATTGAATTCAGGTTATCTACACATGAAAATATATATAATGTAATATAATAATCTATCCATTTGTATATAAATGATCTAAAATGTACTCCACATTGACAAACCAACAAACAAAATGCTAAATAAATCTTATTATAAAACTCTGAAAGGAAAGCAAACACTTTTACTTTTTATACATTTCGATTTGTTTTGTTGGAAAAATTAAAAATAAACCGTCATCTGTAGTTTTTTTTCCCGACACTTAGTCTTTATTGTGATCTCAAAAAGTACAGCACAGACAAATGAAGCACACATTAACAATATATATAATATGAATACTCTATAATACAGAAAGCTGTGACGATAGAAAGAGCATCATGCAGTTCAAGAGGCGTTTAAAGCAGCGCCGCGCTAACAAAGGAAACCGCGTTATATTCTCTACTATAGTGCAAAGCAATTCAATAATAACCTCTGACACGTCAAAGTTATTTTACTCTATTTAAACACAATCAACAGTGCAAGCATGGCAGGAAAATATATGGTACATTTCTCAGAGCAATACATTTGTTCAAGTGAAGAAACAGACGTGAGGTGATTTGATAAAACTGTAAATGACTCAGAGCTGAGAGACGATCAGTGACATGGGGCTTCATTCAAAATAACATTTCATCTAAAACAGGTTTGTTTTGCAAGATTTCCTCAAATGTTTGATTTTTTTCTCAGTGGAATTTGACATTAAAACATTTTTGGTGCAGGTTTCCCTCTTTCCTACAGTCTCATTTGTTTGTAACATTTATGATGATTATATATTTTTTTCCACCAGAAAAACATAATTGTATTTTTTGGTGATTTTGTGACAATTGTATAGCTACTAAATATGTTTGCTGGCTTAACGCCTTTACATTCAGCTTTTTCTAGTTTCACCGTCAGGTTTTTAATTAAAATCACCCACTTAATTATTAACGGAGCAACTGTGCATTTGATATGTTATGTATCGTGCTGTTGCAGACGTGTTGCGTTCATAAGCACATGGTTATTTCTTCATGGTGAGAAAGATAGATAATGATGGAGAAGACTTTTGAGGTTTATCTACCGCTTCCTGCAGCGGCTGTGATTGGCTCCCAGCTCTGAGTTAATAAATCAAACGTTAGTGAGGCACGCTCGGTGCAAAGTAACACATTAATAACTGTGCGCTGACGTTAATGTACATTATTGCTTTGGCTGAAACAACATGTGTCACATTCAATGAATGAAAAGACGTCAAACAATCGGAAACATTCAAAACTCAAAGCAAAGGTTTTTAGGCAAACCTGTAAAAATAATGATCAGTAGTTTAAACTTAAATAGCAAGAGGACATTTAAATACAATAAACAAATAAAATATATATAAATAAGAATAAAATAATTACAAAAATAAGAAAAATATGAAAAAAATGATAAGAAAAAAATAAGGTACAAACCAGTTAGAATAAATTAAATTATAAGCCAAATTAAAATTAGCTGTTAAAAGTATGAAACACTTTAAGTTTCATAACTCCATAAACGTAATTATTATTTCTGAACATTATTTTTGCAGATTTACAAAATGTACATTTGAGCTCACAAGAAACTTCTGCTGTGAATTACATCTCTCCACATTCGATATGTTGGCACGGAGAGTCTGTAATGTGACGTAAAAAAAGTACAATCTACAGCTAACACACACACACACACACACACACACACACACACACACACACACACACACACACACACACACACACACACACACACACACACACACACAGATAATCTGATTGAATCAGCTCCAGCAATACTTCTATTAGCTTCTTTAAAATTAAATATCAATAGCTCTTCATTTACAAAATATCACCTTTGACACGTTTCTGAAAGCCCGACAGCTGATTGCCAAAATATTCTGAACTGATGAGAGCACCACGTCGCTAAAATCTACTTTAAGTGTAAATTTGGTTTGTTATGAGAATAAAAGCACAGAAGTGAGGTGCAGCCTCCTCATGCACAGCTACAATCGCTACGGTCATATCTCTGATGCTGGTGGAGGAGAGGCAGTGTGTGTGTGTGTGTGTGTGTGTGTGTGTGTGTGTGTGTGTGTGTGTGAGAGCTTTTGGCAGTGACGCAACATGACGTTAGCTGAGCAGAGAAGGAAGAGTCTCCCCAGATGTGTCCAGCTTTTTGAAAGATCTACAGATTTAATCAAATTTTTTTTGGCCTACCGGACATCCAGTGTGTGTGGGGGTCTCTCCGTGTGTGAGAGAGAGTGTGTGTGGGGGTCTCTCCGTGTGTGAGAGAGAGTGTGTGTGGGGGTCTCTCCGTGTGTGAGAGAGAGTGTGTGTGGGGGTTTAGAGGTTGACCAGGTGCAGGTCGGAGGCGGTGAAGTGGGGACACAGAGCGGTGTCGAGGTCCTTCAGCTGGCGGAGGATCCGGCGGTGGAACTTGCTCCGGACGCGGTTGAACTCCATGATGTCGGACGGATCCTCGTCCACCCAGAACCGCTGGAACTCCTGCATCAGGTAACCTTCCGCCAGAGAAAGTAGATCCGTTGTTAGAGCAGGGAGGAGGGGAGGGAGGGTCTTAAGATGTTTTAATGAAGTAGAAAAAAAACACAGGGGGGAAATACTCTGATACATGGGGAGTAAAGTGTAGGTGTGTGTGTGTGTGTGTGTGTGTGTGTGTGTGTGTGTGTGTGTGTGTGTGTGTGTCTGTGTGTGTGTGTCTGTGTGTGTGTGTGTGTGTGTGTGTGTCTGTGTGTGTGTGTGTGTGTCTGTGTGTGTGTGTGTGTGTCTGTGTGTGTGTGTGTGTGTGTGTGTGTCTGTGTGTGTGTGTGTGTGTGTGTCTGTGTGTGTGTGTGTGTCTGTGTGGTGTGTGTGTGTGTGTGTCTGTGTGTGTGTCTGTGTGTGTGTGTCTGTGGTGTGTTGTGTGTGTCTGTGTGTGTGTGTGTCTGTCTGTGTGTGTGTGTGTGTGTGTGTGTGTGTGTGTGTCTGTGTGTGTGTGTGTGTGTGTGTGTGTGTCTGTGTGTGTGTGTGTGTGTGTGTGTGTCTGTGTGTGTGTGTCTCTGTGTGTGTGTGTGTGTGTGTCTGTGTGTGTGTGTGTGTGTGTGTGTGTGTGTGTGTGTGTGTGTGTGTGTGTGTGTGTGTGTGTGTGTGTGTCCTCACAGAAGGTCTGCTGCAGGTCTCTCAGACTTGGTGTTTCTGGAGCTACGTTATAAAGATGCGTCTTCAAAGCTCCGCTGATCAGCAGAGAGAACGCCAGGTCCGTGATGTTGATGCCCACGATGGCAAAGGAGTAACTGCAACAACAACAACAACAACAACAACAATATGGTGGATTACAATGTTTTTTTAAATGTCTAACTTCCTTCTCCAAATTCTCACTATTTTCACATTCCTGACTTTTTTTCAAAATGTTCACTTTTTTTAAATTCCTGAGTTTTTACATAATTCTATGTTCATCAAATAGTGTGTGATCTTAACTGTGTGTGTTAAACTAAAACGGAGCATTTTCAGTCAGCTCAGATTTGATCTCTCCTTTTCTGTAGTCTGTGCTCATGTGTTTCAGTGTTGGTGTTTAGCCTGAATACGCTTCATGAAAGGTTTTCATATAAATAAAACCATTTCTGATCCTAAATATCTTCTTCTTTTCTAAGGTCACATTGTTCTGTTGTCTTAGAATATTGTTGATATTTATTTTCTCTTGTGTTTCTTTCTCTTAGTTTGACACTCACCCGATAGCTTTGTCGATGTTCTTCTGTTCCCACTCAGGGCTGTTTGTCTCACTGTGAAGGAAACACTGAGTCATGTTCTGTCTGTGGAACAACACTCATTACAACAATTAACCTCACCAGGGAGTTACCTTTCATAATGTTTAATGTGGGAACAGGTGGTACAAACGTATACAAGTACAAGACTCATACAAGTTACTTCATTTCTTTAAATGTTCTGTGAGGATTCATTTTGTCTGGAATGCATTTTACTGAAGCCTTTTTAACGTTAAATCTATAAATAAAAATAAAAAAGTCAAAAGTCAAGTTTTTTTTTAAAGTAAAAAAATAAAGAAATTGTCAAAAGTAAAAAGAAAAGTAAAATAAAAAAAGGTAAATTAATCAAAAGTTTTAAAAAGTAAAACTCGTCAAAAGTAAAAAGAAAAGTAAAATAGAAAAAGAGTAACATTTGTGAAAAGTTTAAAAAAGTGAAATTAGTCCAAAGTTTAAAAAGAGAATAACAAATAAAATAAATATTCGTCAAAAGTTAAAAAAATATGAAAAATGTAAAAACGGTTTTAATGAATTAATAACTGACTCTTGACTCAATTATTAACTTATTTTAATACTAATTATAATAACACACACACTATATTGTCGCCTGCCATTTCTCTCTTATTAAAGGTGGGGTAGGTAAGTTTGAGAAACCGGTTAGAGATCGCTAGAATTTGAAAATACACAGCCGGAGAAAATCTGCCACTTCCTCACAGAGCCCCTCCTCCAACACACACGAACGCGCACATGACCAATGAGGGCACGAGATAAGTTTGTGCACAGATGGAAGGCTGACAGGCAGGTAGGCCATCCAGTTATATTAGCCGGGCCGGCTCAGATGATTGGTCGTGCTTTTTACAGTACTACAGCTTCCACAGATGATATTTATTTATGGATTTTTTGTCAAAGCACTTCAGATATTCATTGCTATCAGGATGTTAAGAGCATTCCATGGAATATAATATATATTTCTCAAACTTACCTACCCCACCTTTAACTCGAATGTGGCGTATAATATAATAATATAATATTACCCAATCGGAAAATTGTGTTAAATAAAAACAGTTCCCAGACTCTCTCTGTGTGTTTTATGAATGAGATGACAGAGCACAAACATGTGATAAATAAACGGTGCTCGGTGCAGCTTTTAACGCGTGAGGAAGCAATGAACGCAGAGAGAGAGAAAGTGAAATAAAGTACCTTTGCTTTCTGTGTGTGATCCTACCACAGTGCATGAGAGGTGGAGGAAAAGAAGAAGACATCTTTGTGAAATGAGGCGTCTCAGAGATGAGAAACAATACAAGCAGCAGCGGAGATAAAGAAGACATGGAGCTGTAGGGATGGAGTCAGCAGAAAGGATGCAGGGTTATGGAGAAGGTGCTGGCATGTTGGCTCCAGTGAAAGACATGGAGCTGGAGGGATGGAGTCAGCAGAAAGGATGCAGGGTTATGGAGAACGTGCCTCTTTGGCTCCAGGGAAAGACATGGAGCTGGAGGGATGGGTAAAGTCAGCAGAAAGGATGCAGGGTTATGGAGGAGAAGGTGCTGGCATGTTGGCTCCAGTGAAAGACATGGAGCTGGAGGGATGGAGTCAGCAGAAAGGATGCAGGGTTATGGAGAACGTGCTGTTATGTTGGCTCCAGAGAAAGACATGGAGCTGTAGGGATGGGTAAAGACAGCAGAAAGGATGCAGGGTTATGGAGAACGTGCTGGCATGTTGGCTCCAGTGAAAGACATGGAGCTGGAGGGATGGGTAAAGTCAGGAGAAAGGATGCAGGGTTATGGAGGAGAAGGTGCTGGCATGTTGGCTCCAGTGAAAGACATGGAGCTGGAGGGATGGGTAAAGTCAGCAGAAAGGATGCAGGGTTATGGAAAACGTGCCTCTTTGGCTCCAGGGTCTATACGCCTACTGCCTGAATCTGCTTCTTTTTATTTCTATTCCTAATAATTTGGTGTTATCTTCAACATTCTGACACTTTTTCAACATTTTGATTTTCTTTTCAAATTCCTGACTATTTCCATAATTGTCACTTTTTTTTCTCGAAATTCTCACTTTTCTTTTTTAGACTAACTTTTTTCAAATATCTTGACTTATTTCAAAATTCTCACTTTTTTTTGTAAACATGTCTGACTTTCTGTGGATCAGATTTGATGTCTTTGTTAGCTGTTCTGTTCTGTAGGATAATACTTTAAGGGTTCATCTATACAAAAAGCTGATATCCTGGTCGGTTGCCATTGAAAGTGTTCATAAGCTTTTAAATGAACTGTTACTGAGTTATAACCCTTTTTCAGGAAAGAAAATCACCAGTTTGATGACCAACATATGTAATGTATCCATATAACGCATATTAGAGAAGCAAGGGTGTAAAATAATCATTCTAATTTCAATTTAGAGACCCAAACATTTGGCAATAGCTAGCTAGATAGCCACCATCTGCTAGCTAGCTAGTTAATGAATAGCAAACGTTAGATTTGTTGTCAAGTAGATAGTTAGCCTAGTCAGTCAATTTATACTGCAGTTTACTTTCGTGTTAATGTTTGTATCTGATGTATTTTAATGCACCTATGAGCATGAAGATACGTCCGGATGTAGCTTCCAATACGTCTAATCATTGGAGAGTAGAGAGTGTTGTAAGAAAAGAGAGATCATGTGTCAGGGCTGCAAAGTTAGCTTTAGCTTTACGTTGTTTCTATGAACACATGTATAATCGACCTGCTTCATTCATGGATACTCTCCTTCAGCCTCTGATCTCTTTAGAAAATGAAGGTTAAACAGAGAGACTTTCCACCTCGTCACTCAGCGTATGTTTGTGTAAATTGAGTAAGCTAGCCTTACTTGTGCTTCGGCTGCAGAGAGTCGTGGAGCATCTGCAGAGCCGTGGTTTTGTCGTGTTCTGCGAAATACCTGCAAAGATTCACACAGAGAGTTTAAAGAAGAGGAGGATATCGTAGGTTAAAGGTCTCCTATCATACTATTGTTAGGCATATATTATAGGTCTCAGATATATAAAAAACATGTCTCTGAAGTGTTTTGCTCAAAATACCAAACAGATCATTGTAGCCTCATATCCCTCTATTTCAGCCCTGTTACTAAAGGGCTGATTCTGGGTCTGTAGCTCTAAATGCTGCCATGATTAAACGCCATCATGTTCCAAACCACATCAAGGATTATTTCTGAAACAGTATGGAGCTCAAAGGCTTTTTCTCTCGTGAGTCCCTTTTATTTCCTGCTTCTTCACACATACTCTCTCCAGTACAGGTTAGCTCTGAGTGTTAGCATGCTAATGTAAACACAGACCATATTACGTCCAAAACACGTCTTGTTTCTGATAGCAACGTTTCTGGCCGTGGGTGTAAAGCCAGCCCACATTTCAGATCGGCACACGGAGGAAAAGAGAGAGGGTTTTATTGTCTGACACTCTGTGAGTCTCCTGACACTTTGTGAGTCTCCTGACCGAGGACACATATTTATGTATAAAAGACATCAGAAAGTGCCTTTTCCATGATAGGAGAGCTTTACAGTGTGACACTAATAGGTGTTATATTTGATAAAGTGTGTCTCACAGCAGGTTGCTCAGCCCCAGCAGTCCCATCCCTCTGAAGTCTGTCTTGGGGTCGCTGCCCTGAAACCCGATCTCACACCACTGCTTAGAGATCCGTCCAGTGAGAGGAGAGTCGGGACGCAGCTCCTTCCACAGCTGCAACACAACAGGATTATAAAAGACCCCCCATCAAACTGTTCAGTCTGCTGCCGTCTGGGAGGGGGTACCGCAGCATCCGGACTAAGACCACCAGACTCAGAGACAGTTTTATCCCACAGGCCATAAGACTGTTAAACACCTGAACTCTAATAAATGCCTCGAAAAACATTCCTGTTGTCATCTTGCAATCTACTTATTTATATAAATAGTTATCACCGCAACAAACCGTATTTAATTTTGTCTTAATGTTCATTATTTAATTTCATATTCTGTTCTTGTACATATCATATTCTATTGACATGTATATAGACTTCTTGCACTATTTTCTATTTGTATTTTTGTATTTTATTATATATGTTGCATTGTTGGAGGAGACACACACACACACACACACACACACACACACACACACACACACACACACACACACACACACACACACAATTACCTCATGTTACAGTAATCTATAACTACAATCCATGTATCTGCTACATAGTTGGAGTTTCTCCTTTCTTATAAAAAAATCCATCTCTCTCTCTCTCTCTCCCTCCCTCTCTCTCTCTCTCTCTCTCTCTCTGGTTATAGATATACCTTCATGAGCATGTCCTCGTGCTCTTGGTTCTCACAGTCGTATTGTTCTCTGCGTAGTTTCTCCACCTCTCCCACCAGCTTCCTGTAGCCCACGATCTGCAGCAGGCTGGCCTGAAGAGAGATGCCCAGCCTGGGGAGAGAGGAGGAGAGAGGGGGGAGAGAGGGGGAGAGAGGGGGAGAGAGGGGGAGAGGGGGAGAGAGGAGGAGAGAGGGGGGAGAGAGGGGGGAGAGAGGGGGGGGAGAGAGAGGGGGAGAGAGGGGGAGAGAGGGGGAGAGAGGGGGAGAGAGGGAGATCGTGAGAGGGGAACCAGAGCTATCAACGTCCACACACTGTCTGTTCCTCTGAGAGACTCACAGCTCAGTCTGAGCTCTAATGGTCGCTGAGGAAGAGAGCAACACTAAACCATGGAATCAGTGGTACTACCAGAAGTGTTTTTTAAATCTCTGACCTGGAAACAAACTTTTAAAAATGATAAAAGCTAGTGTTTCTGGTGAAATAATTGTATATTCAATAAAATAACTGTATTATTGTCTATATGTTCACTCATATATACATAAATACACACATCACACTCTTATTTTGGTCTTTTTACATTTAATTGTTGTTTTTGCTCACTGTTGAAGTCATATTATTTTGTTTGTGAATTTTAACATTATTAGGAAGAGATTTAAAATAAGCCCAGTGGGTTTCCTGCTCTTTCCTGCTCTTTCCTGCTCTTTCCTGCTCTTTCCTGCTCTTTTCTGCTCTTTCCTGCTCTTTCCTGCTCTTTCCTGCTCTTTTCTGCTCTTTCCTGCTCTTTCCTGCTCTTTCCTGCTCTTTTCTGCTCTTTCCTGCTCTTTTCTGCTCTTTCCTGCTCTTTCCTGCTCTTTCCTGCTCTTTCCTGCTCTTTCCTGCTCTTTTCTGCTCTTTCCTGCTCTTTCCTGCTCTTTTCTGCTCTTTCCTGCTCTGCATATGATTTGCTATTTGTTGTTTGTATTTTTAACAATAAACAATATTAGGGATCATGCAAACGTTCATCTCAAAGAGAGAAAAGACTCTTTGCAGCACTCTTTAGTAAAGTGTTATTGATACTCTTTAGTAAAGTGTTATTGATACTCTTTGGTAAAGTGTTATTGATACTCTTTAGTAAAGTGTTATTGATACTCTTTGGTAAAGTGTTATTGATACTCTTTAGTAAAGTGTTATTGATACTCTTTAGTAAAGTGTTATTGATACTCTTTAGTAAAGTGTTATTGATACTCTTTAGTAAAGTGTTATTGATACTCTTTGGTAAAGTGTTATTGATACTCTTTAGTAAAGTGTTATTGATACTCTTTGGTAAAGTGTTATTGATACTCTTTGGTAAAGTGTTATTGATACTCTTTGGTAAAGTGTTATTGATACTCTTTAGTAAAGTGTTATTGATACTCTTTGGGAAAGTGTTATTGATACTCTTTGGTAAAGTGTTATTGATACTCTTTAGTAAAGTGTTATTGATACTCTTTAGTAAAGTGTTATTGATACTCTTTGGTAAAGTGTTATTGATACTCTTTGGTAAAGTGTTATACTCTTTAGTAAAGTGTTATTGATACTCTTTGGTAAAGTGTTATTGATACTCTTTGGTAAAGTGTTATTGATACTCTTTGGTAAAGTGTTATTGATACTCTTTGGTAAAGTGTTATTGATACTCTTTGGTAAAGTGTTATTGATACTCTTTGGTAAAGTGTTATTGATACTCTTTGGTAAAGTGTTATTGATACTCTTTGGTAAAGTGTTATTGATACTCTTTGGTAAAGTGTTATTGATACTCTTTGGTAAAGTGTTATTGATACTCTTTAGTAAAGTGTTATTGATACTCTTTAGTAAAGTGTTATTGATACTCTTTGGGAAAGTGTTATTGATACTCTTTGGGAAAGTGTTATTGATACTCTTTAGTAAAGTGTTATTGATACTCTTTGGGAAAGTGTTATTGATACTCTTTGGTAAAGTGTTATTGATACTCTTTGGTAAAGTGTTATTGATACTCTTTAGTAAAGTGTTATTGATACTCTTTGGGAAAGTGTTATTGATACTCTTTAGTAAAGTGTTATTGATACTCTTTGGTAAAGTGTTATTGATACTCTTTGGTAAAGTGTTATTGATACTCTTTAGTAAAGTGTTATTGATACTCTTTAGTAAAGTGTTATTGATACTCTTTGGGAAAGTGTTATTGATACTCTTTAGTAAAGTGTTATTGATACTCTTTGGGAAAGTGTTATTGATACTCTTTAGTAAAGTGTTATTGATACTCTTTGGTAAAGTGTTATTGATACTCTTTGGTAAAGTGTTATTGATACTCTTTAGTAAAGTGTTATTGATACTCTTTAGTAAAGTGTTATTGATACTCTTTGGGAAAGTGTTATTGATACTCTTTGGGAAAGTGTTATTGATACTCTTTAGTAAAGTGTTATTGATACTCTTTGGGAAAGTGTTATTGATACTCTTTGGGAAAGTGTTATTGATACTCTTTAGTAAAGTGTTATTGATACTCTTTAGTAAAGTGTTATTGATACTCTTTGGGAAAGTGTTATTGATACTCTTTGGGAAAGTGTTATTGATACTCTTTAGTAAAGTGTTATTGATACTCTTCACAGTCTGATTCAGAGGCTCGATGCTAACACCCTCACAGAAGGGATGAAGTGACAGATATCTCAAGTCTCACTGTGGGTTGGTGTCAGGGTTGATCTTCTTCAGCGCCATGATGTCCTCGATGGTCTTCTCCACTTTATCAGGATGAACGCTGAGCGCAGACTGAAGCAGCTGCAGAGGAAGAGGAGGGAGGAAAACAGAAGATGAAGATGTAATTTGATCAAAGTTAAAAAATGTAACGACACACGATATTCAAACTGAGGATTAAGAGACGTACCGTATTTTTGGAACACCGCAGAGATGATTCTGGAAAAGAAAACAACATTAAGTTAAACATCAATTATTGTTATTATTAATATTACAATAACTCCAAAAACTAGGAAATGATAATCAGGATATTTACACCTCCTGCCATTTAGAGTGTTTTTGTACTTGAGTAAAAGTAGAAGTACTCAGATCTTGTACTTGAGTAAAAGTAGAAGTACTCAGATCTTGTACTTGAGTAAAAGTAGAAGTACTCAGATCTTGTAGTAAAAGTAGAAGTACTCAGATCTTGTACTTGAGTAAAAGTAGAAGTACTCAGATCTTGTTCTTGAGTAAAAGTAGAAGTACTCAGATCTTGTACTTGAGTAAAAGTAGAAGTACTCAGATCTTGTACTTGAGTAAAAGTAGAAGTACTCAGATCTTGTAGTAAAAGTAGAAGTACTCAGATCTTGTTCTTGAGTAAAAGTAGAAGTACTCAGATCTTGTACTTGAGTAAAAGTAGAAGTACTCAGATCTTGTACTTGATTAAAAGTAGAAGTACTCAGATATTGTACTTGAGTAAAAGTAGAAGTACTCAGATCTTGTACTTGAGTAAAAGTAGAAGTACTCAGATCTTGTAGTAAAAGTAGAAGTACTCAGATCTTGTACTTGAGTAAAAGTAGAAGTACTCAGATCTTGTTCTTGAGTAAAAGTAGAAGTACTCAGATCTTGTACTTGAGTAAAAGTAGAAGTACTCAGATCTTGTTCTTGATTAAAAGTAGAAGTACTCAGATCTTGCTCTTGAGTAAAAGTAGAAGTACTCAGATCTTGTACTTGAGTAAAAGTAGAAGTACTCAGATATTGTACTTGAGTAAAAGTAGAAGTACTCAGATATTGTAGTAAAAGTAGAAGTACTCAGATCTTGTACTTGAGTAAAGGTAGAAGTACTCAGATCTTGTAGTAAAAGTAGAAGTACTCAGATATTGTACTTGAGTAAAAGTAGAAGTACTCAGATCTTGTACTTGAGTAAAGGTAGAAGTACTCAGATATTGTAGTAAAAGTAGAAGTACTCAGATCTTGTACTTGAGTAAAAGTAGAAGTACTCAGATCTTGTTCTTGAGTAAAAGTAGAAGTACTCAGATCTTGTACTTGAGTAAAAGTAGAAGTACTCAGATCTTGTACTTGAGTAAAAGTAGAAGTACTCAGATCTTGTAGTAAAAGTAGAAGTACTCAGATCTTGTTCTTGATTAAAAGTAGAAGTACTCAGATCTTGCTCTTGAGTAAAAGTAGAAGTACTCAGATCTTGTACTTGAGTAAAAGTAGAAGTACTCAGATCTTGTACTTGAGTAAAAGTAGAAGTACTCAGATCTTGTAGTAAAAGTAGAAGTACTCAGATCTTGTACTTGAGTAAAAGTAGAAGTAATCAGATCTTGTACTTGAGTAAAAGTAGAAGTACTCAGATCTTGTACTTGAGTGAAAGTAGAAGTACTCAGATCTTGTACTTGAGTAAAAGTAGAAGTAATCAGATCTTGTACTTGAGTAAAAGTAGAAGTACTCAGATCTTGTACTTGAGTAAAAGTAGAAGTACTCAGATCTTGTACTTGAGTAAAAGTAGAAGTACTCAGATCTTGTAGTAAAAGTAGAAGTACTCAGATCTTGTACTTGAGTAAAAGTAGAAGTAATCAGATCTTGTACTTGAGTAAAAGTAGAAGTACTCAGATCTTGTACTTGAGTAAAAGTAGAAGTACTCAGATCTTGTTCTTGAGTAAAAGTAGAAGTACTCAGATCTTGTACTTGAGTAAAAGTAGAAGTACTCAGATCTTGTACTTGAGTAAAAGTAGAAGTACTCAGATCTTGTAGTAAAAGTAGAAGTACTCAGATCTTGTTCTTGATTAAAAGTAGAAGTACTCAGATCTTGCTCTTGAGTAAAAGTAGAAGTACTCAGATCTTGTACTTGAGTAAAAGTAGAAGTACTCAGATCTTGTACTTGAGTAAAAGTAGAAGTACTCAGATCTTGTAGTAAAAGTAGAAGTACTCAGATCTTGTACTTGAGTAAAAGTAGAAGTAATCAGATCTTGTACTTGAGTAAAAGTAGAAGTACTCAGATCTTGTACTTGAGTAAAAGTAGAAGTACTCAGATCTTGTACTTGAGTAAAAGTAGAAGTAATCAGATCTTGTACTTGAGTAAAAGTAGAAGTACTCAGATCTTGTACTTGAGTAAAAGTAGAAGTACTCAGATCTTGTACTTGAGTAAAAGTAGAAGTACTCAGATCTTGTAGTAAAAGTAGAAGTACTCAGATCTTGTACTTGAGTAAAAGTAGAAGTAATCAGATCTTGTACTTGAGTAAAAGTAGAAGTACTCAGATCTTGTACTTGAGTAAAAGTAGAAGTACTCAGATCTTGTACTTGAGTAAAAGTAGAAGTACTCAGATCTTGTACCTGAGTAAAAGTAGAAGTACTCAGATCTTGTTCTTGAGTAAAAGTAGAAGTACTCAGATATTGTACCTGAGTAAAAGTAGAAGTACTCAGATCTTGTACTTGAGTGAAAGTAGAAGTACTCAGATCTTGTACTTGAGTAAAAGTATAAGTACTCAGATCTTGTTCTTGAGTAAAAGTAGAAGTACTCAGATCTTGTACTTGAGTAAAAGTAGAAGTACTCAGATCTTGTACTTGAGTAAAAGTAGAAGTACTCAGATCTTGTAGTAAAAGTAGAAGTACTCAGATCTTGTTCTTGATTAAAAGTAGAAGTAATCAGATCTTGTACTTGAGTAAAAGTAGAAGTACTCAGATCTTGTACTTGAGTAAAAGTAGAAGTACTCAGATCTTGTTCTTGAGTAAAAGTAGAAGTACTCAGATCTTGTACTTGAGTAAAAGTAGAAGTACTCAGATCTTGTACTTGAGTAAAAGTAGAAGTACTCAGATCTTGTAGTAAAAGTAGAAGTACTCAGATCTTGTTCTTGATTAAAAGTAGAAGTACTCAGATCTTGCTCTTGAGTAAAAGTAGAAGTACTCAGATCTTGTACTTGAGTAAAAGTAGAAGTACTCAGATCTTGTACTTGAGTAAAAGTAGAAGTACTCAGATCTTGTAGTAAAAGTAGAAGTACTCAGATCTTGTAGTAAAAGTAGAAGTACTCAGATCTTGTACTTGAGTAAAAGTAGAAGTACTCAGATCTTGTTCTTGATTAAAAGTAGAAGTACTCAGATCTTGCTCTTGAGTAAAAGTAGAAGTACTCAGATCTTGTACTTGAGTAAAAGTAGAAGTACTCAGATATTGTACTTGAGTAAAAGTAGAAGTACTCAGATATTGTAGTAAAAGTAGAAGTACTCAGATCTTGTACTTGAGTAAAGGTAGAAGTACTCAGATCTTGTAGTAAAAGTAGAAGTACTCAGATATTGTACTTGAGTAAAAGTAGAAGTACTCAGATCTTGTACTTGAGTAAAAGTAGAAGTACTCAGATCTTGTAGTAAAAGTAGAAGTACTCAGATCTTGTTCTTGATTAAAAGTAGAAGTAATCAGATCTTGTACTTGAGTAAAAGTAGAAGTACTCAGATCTTGTACTTGAGTAAAAGTAGAAGTACTCAGATCTTGTTCTTGAGTAAAAGTAGAAGTACTCAGATCTTGTACTTGAGTAAAAGTAGAAGTACTCAGATCTTGTACTTGAGTAAAAGTAGAAGTACTCAGATCTTGTAGTAAAAGTAGAAGTACTCAGATCTTGTTCTTGATTAAAAGTAGAAGTACTCAGATCTTGCTCTTGAGTAAAAGTAGAAGTACTCAGATCTTGTACTTGAGTAAAAGTAGAAGTACTCAGATCTTGTACTTGAGTAAAAGTAGAAGTACTCAGATCTTGTAGTAAAAGTAGAAGTACTCAGATCTTGTAGTAAAAGTAGAAGTACTCAGATCTTGTACTTGAGTAAAAGTAGAAGTACTCAGATCTTGTTCTTGATTAAAAGTAGAAGTACTCAGATCTTGCTCTTGAGTAAAAGTAGAAGTACTCAGATCTTGTACTTGAGTAAAAGTAGAAGTACTCAGATATTGTACTTGAGTAAAAGTAGAAGTACTCAGATATTGTAGTAAAAGTAGAAGTACTCAGATCTTGTACTTGAGTAAAGGTAGAAGTACTCAGATCTTGTAGTAAAAGTAGAAGTACTCAGATATTGTACTTGAGTAAAAGTAGAAGTACTCAGATCTTGTACTTGAGTAAAGGTAGAAGTACTCAGATATTGTAGTAAAAGTAGAAGTACTCAGATCTTGTACTTGAGTAAAAGTAGAAGTACTCAGATCTTGTTCTTGAGTAAAAGTAGAAGTACTCAGATCTTGTACTTGAGTAAAAGTAGAAGTACTCAGATCTTGTACTTGAGTAAAAGTAGAAGTACTCAGATCTTGTAGTAAAAGTAGAAGTACTCAGATCTTGTTCTTGATTAAAAGTAGAAGTACTCAGATCTTGCTCTTGAGTAAAAGTAGAAGTACTCAGATCTTGTACTTGAGTAAAAGTAGAAGTACTCAGATCTTGTACTTGAGTAAAAGTAGAAGTACTCAGATCTTGTAGTAAAAGTAGAAGTACTCAGATCTTGTACTTGAGTAAAAGTAGAAGTAATCAGATCTTGTACTTGAATAAAAGTAGAAGTACTCAGATCTTGTACTTGAGTAAAAGTAGAAGTACTCAGATCTTGTACTTGAGTAAAAGTAGAAGTAATCAGATCTTGTACTTGAGTAAAAGTAGAAGTACTCAGATCTTGTACTTGAGTAAAAGTAGAAGTACTCAGATCTTGTACTTGAGTAAAAGTAGAAGTACTCAGATCTTGTAGTAAAAGTAGAAGTACTCAGATCTTGTACTTGAGTAAAAGTAGAAGTAATCAGATCTTGTACTTGAGTAAAAGTAGAAGTACTCAGATCTTGTACTTGAGTAAAAGTAGAAGTACTCAGATCTTGTTCTTGAGTAAAAGTAGAAGTACTCAGATCTTGTACTTGAGTAAAAGTAGAAGTACTCAGATCTTGTACTTGAGTAAAAGTAGAAGTACTCAGATCTTGTAGTAAAAGTAGAAGTACTCAGATCTTGTTCTTGATTAAAAGTAGAAGTACTCAGATCTTGCTCTTGAGTAAAAGTAGAAGTACTCAGATCTTGTACTTGAGTAAAAGTAGAAGTACTCAGATCTTGTACTTGAGTAAAAGTAGAAGTACTCAGATCTTGTAGTAAAAGTAGAAGTACTCAGATCTTGTACTTGAGTAAAAGTAGAAGTAATCAGATCTTGTACTTGAGTAAAAGTAGAAGTACTCAGATCTTGTACTTGAGTAAAAGTAGAAGTACTCAGATCTTGTACTTGAGTAAAAGTAGAAGTAATCAGATCTTGTACTTGAGTAAAAGTAGAAGTACTCAGATCTTGTACTTGAGTAAAAGTAGAAGTACTCAGATCTTGTACTTGAGTAAAAGTAGAAGTACTCAGATCTTGTAGTAAAAGTAGAAGTACTCAGATCTTGTACTTGAGTAAAAGTAGAAGTAATCAGATCTTGTACTTGAGTAAAAGTAGAAGTACTCAGATCTTGTACTTGAGTAAAAGTAGAAGTACTCAGATCTTGTACTTGAGTAAAAGTAGAAGTACTCAGATCTTGTACCTGAGTAAAAGTAGAAGTACTCAGATCTTGTTCTTGAGTAAAAGTAGAAGTACTCAGATATTGTACCTGAGTAAAAGTAGAAGTACTCAGATCTTGTACTTGAGTGAAAGTAGAAGTACTCAGATCTTGTACTTGAGTAAAAGTATAAGTACTCAGATCTTGTTCTTGAGTAAAAGTAGAAGTACTCAGATCTTGTACTTGAGTAAAAGTAGAAGTACTCAGATCTTGTACTTGAGTAAAAGTAGAAGTACTCAGATCTTGTAGTAAAAGTAGAAGTACTCAGATCTTGTTCTTGATTAAAAGTAGAAGTAATCAGATCTTGTACTTGAGTAAAAGTAGAAGTACTCAGATCTTGTACTTGAGTAAAAGTAGAAGTACTCAGATCTTGTTCTTGAGTAAAAGTAGAAGTACTCAGATCTTGTACTTGAGTAAAAGTAGAAGTACTCAGATCTTGTACTTGAGTAAAAGTAGAAGTACTCAGATCTTGTAGTAAAAGTAGAAGTACTCAGATCTTGTTCTTGATTAAAAGTAGAAGTACTCAGATCTTGCTCTTGAGTAAAAGTAGAAGTACTCAGATCTTGTACTTGAGTAAAAGTAGAAGTACTCAGATCTTGTACTTGAGTAAAAGTAGAAGTACTCAGATCTTGTAGTAAAAGTAGAAGTACTCAGATCTTGTAGTAAAAGTAGAAGTACTCAGATCTTGTACTTGAGTAAAAGTAGAAGTAATCAGATCTTGTACTTGAGTAAAAGTAGAAGTACTCAGATCTTGTACTTGAGTAAAAGTAGAAGTACTCAGATCTTGTACTTGAGTAAAAGTAGAAGTACTCAGATCTTGTACCTGAGTAAAAGTAGAAGTACTCAGATCTTGTTCTTGAGTAAAAGTAGAAGTACTCAGATATTGTACCTGAGTAAAAGTAGAAGTACTCAGATCTTGTACTTGAGTGAAAGTAGAAGTACTCAGATCTTGTACTTGAGTAAAAGTATAAGTACTCAGATCTTGTTCTTGAGTAAAAGTAGAAGTACTCAGATCTTGTACTTGAGTAAAAGTAGAAGTACTCAGATCTTGTACTTGAGTAAAAGTAGAAGTACTCAGATCTTGTAGTAAAAGTAGAAGTACTCAGATCTTGTTCTTGATTAAAAGTAGAAGTAATCAGATCTTGTACTTGAGTAAAAGTAGAAGTACTCAGATCTTGTACTTGAGTAAAAGTAGAAGTACTCAGATCTTGTTCTTGAGTAAAAGTAGAAGTACTCAGATCTTGTACTTGAGTAAAAGTAGAAGTACTCAGATCTTGTACTTGAGTAAAAGTAGAAGTACTCAGATCTTGTAGTAAAAGTAGAAGTACTCAGATCTTGTTCTTGATTAAAAGTAGAAGTACTCAGATCTTGTTCTTGAGTAAAAGTAGAAGTACTCAGATCTTGTACTTGAGTAAAAGTAGAAGTACTCAGATCTTGTACTTGAGTAAAAGTAGAAGTAATCAGATCTTGTAGTAAAAGTAGAAGTACTCAGATCTTGTACTTGAGTAAAAGTAGAAGTAATCAGATCTTGTACTTGAGTAAAAGTAGAAGTACTCAGATCTTGTACTTGAGTAAAAGTAGAAGTACTCAGATCTTGTACTTGAGTAAAAGTAGAAGTAATCAGATCTTGTACTTGAGTAAAAGTAGAAGTACTCAGATCTTGTACTTGAGTAAAAGTAGAAGTACTCAGATCTTGTACTTGAGTAAAAGTAGAAGTACTCAGATCTTGTAGTAAAAGTAGAAGTACTCAGATCTTGTACTTGAGTAAAAGTAGAAGTAATCAGATCTTGTACTTGAGTAAAAGTAGAAGTACTCAGATCTTGTACTTGAGTAAAAGTAGAAGTACTCAGATCTTGTACTTGAGTAAAAGTAGAAGTACTCAGATCTTGTACCTGAGTAAAAGTAGAAGTACTCAGATCTTGTTCTTGAGTAAAAGTAGAAGTACTCAGATATTGTACCTGAGTAAAAGTAGAAGTACTCAGATCTTGTACTTGAGTGAAAGTAGAAGTACTCAGATCTTGTACTTGAGTAAAAGTATAAGTACTCGGATCTTGTACTTGAGTAAAAGTATAAGTACTCAGGTCTTGTACTTGAGTAAAAGTAGAAGTACTCAGATCTTGTACTTGAGTAAAAGTAGAAGTACTCAGATCTTGTAGTAAAAGTAGAAGTACTCAGGTCTTGTACTTGAGTAAAAGTAGAAGTACTCAGGTCTTGTACTTGAGTAAAAGTAGAAGTACTCAGATATTGTACTTGAGTAAAAGTAGAAGTACTCAGATCTGTACTTGAGTAAAAGTAGAAGTACTCAGATCTTGTACTTGAGTAAAAGTAGAAGTACCAGAGTGTAGGAATACTCTGTTACAGTAAAAGTCCTGTATTCAAAATGTTCCTCAAGTGAAAGTATTAAAGTATTCTCATCAAAATATAGTGAAAGTACAGTAAAAGTAGTCATTGTGCAGATTGGTCCATTTCAGAATAATATATATGATATGTTTTATAATGATTGATCATGAAAGTGTTCTCAAAGCTGGTAAAGGTGCAGCTAGTTTGAATGACTTTGTATACTGCAGGGTAGCTTGTGGATTTACTCCAGGTGGAACTAAAGTCTGATTTAACACTTGGTTATATTTCACATCATTCATCCACATCTGTGAAGTAACTAAAGGTATTATACATGTAGTGGAGTAAAAGTACACCATGTACCTCTGAACTGTAGTGGAGTAAAAGTACACAGTAGCATAAAATGGAAATACTTAAGTAAAATACAGTAAGTACAGTACTTGAGTAAATCTACTTAGTTGCTTCCTGCCTCTGATTACTGTCGGCTTCATAAACATGACTTTATTATCAGGCAGTGTGAGAGTTACCTATCTTCAGGGTCCTGCGGGCTCCATGCTTGTTGTTGTAGCAGATCCTCTGCAGCTCGCAGCGACCCGTTAGCTTCCTGGTGACGAACTTCAGTCCTCGCCACAAACACTTACAGTACAGGAAGACGAAGAACTGCGTCACCACCCTGCAGATTTCAGAGATTCAAGAATCAAAGGTGTTATTGTCATATGCACAAAGCTACAGTGTAACAATGGCAATTACATTCTTCTGACCTGAGCTCCTCCAACAATGCAACATATATTTTACATTACATCACATTTAGCTGAGGCTTTTATCCAAAGAGACTTACAATAAGTGCATTCGACCAGGAAGATACAAACTTGAAGAAAACAGAATCATATAAGTACATCATGTTTCATAGAGCCAGAACATTTCAAGTGCTACTCAACTGGCTTTAGATAAGCCAGTCCTTTGTTAGTATATAAGTGCTTTGTTAGTAATTATTATATAGATATATAATAAAATATAAAAATAAAAAATAGTGCAAGAAGTCTCTATACATGTAAATACAATAGGATATGTACAAGAACAGAATATGAAATAAAATAATGTAAATTAAGACAAAAGAGGGTGAGATACGGACTTCAGTGTCATCTGTTAAAGTGCTACAAATATAGTCGGTTGAATACTCAATTCTGATTGGTCGATTTGGACATTCCAGAGGTCTGTTATTTTTCGCTAGCAGTCCGTTGTTAAGGAGAGCAGACCGTCGCTAAGGAGAGCAGATCGTTGCTAAGGAAAGCAGACCGTTGCTAAGGAGAGCAGGCCGTTGCTAAGGAGAGCAGACCGTTGCGACGAAGTGCAGACCGTCGCTAAGGAGAGCAAACTGTTGCTATGGAGGATACTCTGATCAAAGGGACTATTTGCATTTAGTATTTACTACTGATATTAAATGGAAATTACATTTAGATAAAAAAATGTTGGTCTTACATGTTAGTAAATTGAATATTTGGGAGTTTTGGTAATAATATAAAACAATAAATGATATTGTTTTGAGTTTATTTACTACTTTTTATGTTTTACAGACCTATATTAACTGCCACTTCAACCTTTAGTGAAAAAACGTAAAGACTTGGTACTCTAAAATAACAATAAATGGGAAAAAAACGTCAAGCTGGTCTTACATGTTAGTAAATTGAATATTTGTTGAGTTTTGGTAATAAAATAAAACAGTTAATGATATTGTTATGAACATTTTCAATACTTTTTTCTATATTAACTGTCACTTCAAGCGTTAAAAAAAAAATGTGCAGCTCCTAATAGTTTCCTTAAAATGTACCCTTATTTATTGCAAAAAAATAGTTTTTTACAGGATTTTACGGATTATTAGCTCAGTATTTTGGGGGATTCATATTAAAATCCCATCCTATTCAGAGTGAAGATGTAAAATGGGCTCAATAAGAGTAAAACAATAAGATTGTGTGTTACTTCTCGTCTCCCAGCAGCAGATCAAAGTGTGCTATTTTTACAGATGACACTGAGGACTAAAATGGAAATGTGTGTCTTGGGAAATGCACAGCGACCCGTTATAAAAACGTGGAGACTAAATGATTTCTATCCTCCTCTGGATTTACTCTGAACGTTAGGAAAGAAGGAGGAACACACTTATGTTGTAGTGATTACATCATCCTGAAACACAGAATTAGGGCCTGTTTGTAACTTAGCATCTCAAATAAAGAGGACTAAGATTCTCAGAATAATGAGTTAGCATAAGGAAATGATTACTTAAAAATATCTTAGCATCTGAAAATACCGACAGCGTCTCATAATATAGACTAAGCCTCCCAAAATAACGTCATATGTCTCATAATAATGACTTAACATGTCAAATAAATGAATAAGCATCTCAGAATAATGAGTTAGCATCTGAAAAAATGACTTAGCATCAAAAAATAACGACACATGTCAAAATATGCATCCCAACATAACTTCTTCTCAAAATAACAACCTAGCATTTCAAATAATGACCTATATCTCAAAATATAGACTAAGCATCTCAAAGTAAGGCCTTAACAACGTTAAATATAGACCTAGCATCCCAAAATGTTGAGTTATATCTCAAAATAACAACCTAGCATCTCTGACAAATGACAATTAGCATCTCAAAATAACGACATATATCCCAAAATAACAACCTAGCATCTCAAATAACGACTAAGAAGATTGTTGTTTTAAGAATAATGACTTAGCATCCCAAAATAAGGCCTTACCAACTTAAAATGTAGAACTAGCATCCCAAAATGTGGACATATATCTCAAAATATAGACTTAGCATCCCAAGATATAGACTTATCAATATTTTGACTAAGCATCCCATTTCTCATTATTTCGACCTGCTATGTAATTTTTCACAGGGTGTTTTTTTTCTGAATAAATGGTTTCCACACACAGAAAGCAACAGCTCTATTAATAGAGACTTGGTGTACATGTGCTCCATAATTAAGAGGCCTCCTTCTCCATACAGCCACTTATACTGGCCACAATAAGATAATCGATCCGCCTTCACTGGGAGAAATGGGAATACACATCCTGCAGTATTTAGTGCAAACAAGACATTGCAGTGGATCGAAATGGACGAAGGAAAACAGGCACAGAAAACGGAGATTTTGAATGAATAAAATGCAAATTAAAGAGTGTCTTTACCTCAGAAAATGCTTCATCTTGGTGTTTTCGGTGGTGTTTCTGCAGAGAGATCACCTGCAGACAGAAAGCAGAGGACGTGTCTGTGTGCAGGATTAACGCGCAAATAATCTGCGGCTTTTCCTCCTGCCTGCACCCGGTGAGCAGCGCTAATATTAACCTGCAATCCGTGCAACGACACAGACACATATCCAAGGAGATATGTGGCTTATTTCCCCTTTAGTGCATCAATAACACATTTTATAAACGCTCCGTGGTCTGCGGGCCGGTTAGCAACCCGGTGCACAAACACAGAATCATCCATAGCGACACACGGTGGCTGTAAATGCTTCAGTGCATGCAATAAAAACACTAAAATCCATGCGATAACACACAATAATGTCCTCTTACCGACGTGAGAGGAGTATAAAGGCTAAAAGAAGATGGAGGTGCCTGGTGTTGTGCTGCTCACTGCTGCAGAGCCTCCATGATGATGACAGTCAGTGTGCAGAGACTCACTGCAGAATACTGAGGAGGACAACATCAATTATACATTCACACAGCATTCCCCTCTCTCTGGGGTATAGAGAGGGTTTACTGTGAACAAAACCTAAATAATGTGATGATCTATGGATAAAATTGCTTATTGCATTCTTTTTAGGCAGGTTTGAGGAGGAATGGATAATATCATGTGATGGGATTACGTAATGGGGATCAACAAAAAAGGTAACTGTATTTTCTTAAAATTACATAAAATAATCTGACTGTCTCTTAAGAATTGCATGTAAAAGTAACCACACATTACATTTTAAAAACCCTCAAAATTATTCCAATAAATAAAATAAAAATGTGTAGAGATGCTAATTATTTTCTCTTAATCTGCTAATTGATCAATCTTTTATTGAATAAACAGTAAACTAAACATTGCAACATATCATAATTTAAAGATATGTTGCAATGCATGTATTTCTTTGCAGACACTTCTGTTATTACAGTATCTGCACCTCGCCTTGAATACATCTCCAGCCTCTTGATTAAATATATATAATAACTGGCTTTTAAATGTAGTATATTCAGAGGTGGGAAGTAGTGGAGTACAAATACTTTGTTACTGTACTTAAGTACATTTTTCTGGTATCAGTACTTTCCTCCACTACTTATTTTCCTGATGACTTTTTACTTTTACTTCTTACATGTTGAACACAAATACCTGTACTTTCTACTTCTTACATGTTGAACCCAAATACCTGTACTTTCTACTTCCTACATGTTGAACACAAATACCTGTACTTTCTACTTCTTACATGTTGAACACAAATACCTGTACTTTCTACTTCTTACATGTTGAACACAAATACCTGTACTTTCTACTTCTTACATTTTCTAAACAGGCTGGTTCCTTTAGTTTTAATCTGTGTTTAGTGGCGTGATCATCGTGATTTGTTCATTTATTTTATGAGTTTGATGTTAGTTTCAATCTGCTGATGAAGGAGGAGGCGCTACATGAACAGAGCTCAGAAGCAAAGTGTGAGAATTTACCGAATGCATTTTTTTATTTACTTATATTACATTTTTATGGATTATTTATTATTAATTTCATTGTATTGTTTTATCCATAACTCCATATATATCCATAACAAAGATTATTATTTTTATTACATTTGTATGGATTCTTTATACGTGGACACAGACTCTGCTCAGCTGCTCATGCATTTCATTTTAAAGACATCACAGAATCAGAATCAGAAAACCTTTATTCGTCCCAGAGGGGAAATGTACTTTTGTTCCAGCAGAAAGAGCCAAAGACAGCTTAACGTTAACTAAGAAGCATACAAACAAATATTAAAGACATTTTTTTTCTTTTTAAATGGCAGAATTTACAAAATACACATCCTGTAGCAGTTCTGAAGACAACACATCTTAAAGGTTTCAACAACATCTGAACACATTTCATAAAGACTACATGCACACAAAGCTTTAGCAGAGTTTCAATAACACCAGGCAGAGCTCCTTCAGAAGAGTTAGGAATCAACGGAAACATTTGAATGGATATTAAAAGTCTCCTATCATGCTATTTTTCGGCATATATTATGGGTCTCAGATAAATACAAATATATAAAAAACATGTCTATTAGGGGTGGGGGAAATAATCGATACAGCATAGTATCGCGATACTTTGCGTGGCGATATTGTATCGATGCACGGATGCCAAGTATCGATTTTTTATAATATCAACTGTAGCATATCCCTCCGAAAGATGGTCGTATATAAAACAGGAAGTTAAGACATGTATACAATTGCAATGAAAGTAACAAAAACAATGCCATCTCCTTTTCAGGTTCAAAGAACACACATTGGGTTATTTACATAAACTATTCATATTGCAAATACATGTTTTAACCAGGAAGGGAAGACGGACATGGATATGACCCGTGTGATTTGCAATATCGCAATATATCGTATCGCAATACTTAGCATATCGTAGAATCGCAATACTATCGTATCGTGGCTTAAGTATCGCGATAGTATCGTATCGTGGGGAGCCTGGTGATTCCCAGCCCTAATGTCTATGAAGTGTTTTGCTCAAAATACCAAACAGATCATGCATTTTAGAATCCCTCATATCCCTCTGTTCCAGCTCTGTTACTAAAGAGCTGATTCTGGGTGCGTATCTTTATACAAAAAAAAAAGAGGAGGGGAAGCTTTTGCCTGCTCAGAATTCTCCGGAGATAAAGCTAAACGCTGCGGTGATTAAACGCCATCATGTTCCAAACCACATCAAGGATTATTTCTGAAACAGTATATGGAGCTCATGGAGTTTTATTTTCTGACACTTTGTGAGTCTCCTGACACACCGGGGACACATATTTATGTATAAAAGACATCAAAAAGTGCATTTTGCATGATAGGAGACCTTTAAATGAACCCGGGGTGATGAACCCAGTGCTTTGATCACAGGGAGAACGTCTCCCCCCCAAACACAGGATTATGGGATGCCTGTGGACCATTTTGAGATGGACACGGGTCAACAGGTAACCCTCTGGGACCTGGAAGAGAAACAGGGAAATACTTTGGTTATAAAACCAGCAGTAGATTGTAGACGGGCTTCTTCAACTGATAGAGGAGAGTATTTGTTCTCACTGGATCAATACTCTCTGATCTGCTCTCACCTCTCTGTACTGTATATACAAACAGTGGTGTGAAGTAACCAAGTATATATACTCATGTGCTGTACTAAAGTACCATTTTGATGTACTTGTGCTCTACCTGAGTATTTAAAGGAGCCTCTAGTTCAGAATCCCTGCTGGTTGAACCTGTTATCTGAACGTATTCATGTTTATGTTAGGCTGACACCATCCTAGGTTAGTATACTGTATAGCAGAGGTTCTTCTGAATGCAGTCCCTCATCAGAACCACCTTTATTTCCAGATACGTTTACACACACAAGGAAGTGGATTTAGGCCTAGGCTCCACGGGAACGAAAACAGGTTGTATCCGCATATTTCTCATGCGTATAGCCCTTTAAGCTCGACGACGACGCCGTAACGGAAATGTAGAAACAGACCCTGCCAACGACAACGGGTCCAAAGGTGGATAGATCTGGGAACGGAGCACTCTGGGGGGTCCAACGGGGCCGTGTGGTCGCCTATACGGTCATCCGTTTCTGATAATGACGACGCAATAGCCCCGCCTCTCCCCGCCTCTGCTGCTCACCCCCGCAAAAGTACACTGCACACTGAATTCAGATTATTTATCTTTATCTCGATATGGACATAAACGCGAGTGAAGTCTAATCTGACAGGACGGAGACACGCAGCTCCTCCCGCTGTGATGCAGCGAGAGTCACACACTTCAAGTCAGATCATCACCCTTAGCTATTTTAATTACCTCTCAAACTAAACTAGTTATAAATATGTTTATTTTTACTGTCGAGTCATCATTACTGGATCAGCTGCTGCATGAGACAGACACTGACGCTGTGAGAAGAGAGGAGAAAGAGAGGCCAGGCTCTGTGTATTTTATTATTATATATCATTATATAGAGTCGTTATTCATTTGTTTTAAAGCTCAATAAATAACAAAGAAGACCTTTGACCGGCACTTTTATAATTTTGTCCGGAAGATTTAAACTTTAACACACGTTGACCGGCGAAAAACTCTGCCCGGTTCCGTCGGCCCCCACGGCGGAGAATAAACAGAAGTGCAGCCATGACAACCATTCTTCTTTGCTGCTTTTGTGGAGGAAGTTACAGCGCCACGTACAGGCTCGGCATATGTACTGCAGCTTTTCCAGCGGTTGGATGTAAACGGAGCCGTCTCGTGGAGCTTGACACAATCCGGTGTATATTGCGTGTGGGCGGAAGGTTTTTTGCGGTTGCGTTTGCGTTACTCCGATGCGTTTTGCCGTATGCGTTCCCGTGGAGCCGGGGCCTTAGTGTCTGGTGGTGCGAACATAAACAACATAAGAAAATAAGTTGCAATAGAAGGTCAAGAATATAAAGATAATAAAAATAAGTATTTTTAAGAAACTATTTACAATTAAAAAAAGAATAAGACAAGTATTTACACCAAATGTAAATGTGAATATACACAGAACCTTAAAAGCTACAACACTTAGCAGAATGAAAATATGACAATATATGTAAAACTACAGAGTTGTATTTTAAAGCAGGGCCGTTTCTAGCTTTTTGGGGGCCCCATGCAAGATGCTGTTTGGGGGCCCCATGCAAGATGCTGTTTGGGGGCCCCATGCAAGATGCTGTTTGGGGCCCCCATGCAAGATGCTGTTTGGGGGCCCCATGCAAGATGCTGTTTTGGGGGCCCCATGCAAGATGCTGTTTGGGGGCCCCATGCAAGATGCTGTTTGGGGGCCGTATGCAAGATGCTGTTTGGGGGCCCCATGCAAGATGCTGTTTTGGGGACCCCATGCAAGATGCTGTTTGGGGGCCCCATGCAAGATGCTGTTTTGGGGGCCCCATGCAAGATGCTGTTTGGGGGCCCTATGCAAGATGCTGTTTGGGGGCCCAATGCAAGATGCTGTTTGGGGGCCGTATGCAAGATGCTGTTTGGGGGCCCCATGCAAGACGCTGTTTTGGGGGCCCCATGCAAGATGCTGTTTGGGGGCCCTATCCTGTCCGGCAGTGGCTCAGTCAGTAGGGGCTTGGACTGGGAGCCGTAGGGTCGCTGGTTCAAGTCCCCGACCAGACCTAAATATGGAGTGTGGACTTCTACTTGGAGAGGTCCCAGTTCACCTCCTGCCCTGCCGTGGTGCCCTTGAGCAAGGCACCGGACACCCCCCTTCCCCCCCACTCCCATTGCTCCCCGGGCGCTGTACAATAGCTGCCCACTGCTCCTAGTACTAGACTCCTTGTACTAGGATGGGTTAAAAGCAGAGGCCAAATTTCACTGTGTGTGCTGTGTGCTCTGCATGTGTGACCATTAAAGAGGGTTTCATCCCTCCCTATTCTTCTATGCAAGATGCTGTTTGGGGGCCCCATGCAAGATGCTGTTTGGGTTAGCTCCTTCAGAAGAGTTACAAATAAATGGGAACATTTGATTGGATATTAAAGGTCTCCTATCATGCTATTTTTAGGCATATATTATGGGTCTCAGATATAAACAAATATATAAAAAACATGTCTATTAGGGGTGGGGGAAATAATCGACACAGCATAGTATCGCGATACCTTGCGTGGCGATATTGTATCGATGCACGGATGCCAAGTATCGATATTTTCTTTATATCAATTGTAGCATATCCCTCCGAAAGATGGTCGTATATAAAACAGGAAGTTAAGACATGTATACAATTGCAATGAAAGTGACAAAAACAATGCCATCTCCTTTTCAGGTTCAAAGAACACACATTGGGTTATTTACATAAACTATTCCAGGGTTCCTGCAGGTTTCGCCAACTCAAATTTAAGACTTTTTAAGACCTTTTTAAGACCACTTTGAATAGAATTTAAGACCTATTTCACGGCAAGAAAGTATGAAGGAAAATTGCTATGAAAGAAGAAATACGTCCCATAAATGTATTCATGTTCAACATAAGAACAATGACTGAACATAACAGCATAACAGTACAGAACTGTGTTAGCGTGTTAGACAAAAAGTGTGTATGTGTGTGTGTCTGTGTGTGCTTGTGTGTGTGTGTGTGTGTGTGTGTGGGCTGTGCAATTAATCATATTTTAATCGCAATTACGAAACAACATAATCGATTATTTTTGCTTTGCTAGGTTGTGACAGTGCACTACAACATATTTGATTAATTAATTTTAGTAAATTTAATTTATTTTTATTTATCATATTTGTATATGTTTAGTAGCTTGTGGAAGTGCGCTCCAAAATATTTGTTGATCTTGTTTATTGGTATTTATTATTTTTGATATTATTTATTTAAATGTATCATTTATTTAATTTATTTTTTCAGTTGAATTATACGTTCAGGGTAATCAACAGTTAAAAAGATACTGTCCAAATTATTATTTGTTTTAAAGTTCAATAAATGGATGTTTTCAAAGTCAATTAATAATTTTATTTAATAATTGTGATATCAATTATTGACCAAAATAATCGTGATTATGATGTTTGCCATAATCGAGCAGCCCTAGTGTGTGTGTGTGTGTGTGTGTGTGTGTGTGTGTGTGTGTGTGTGTGTGTGTGTGTGTGTGTGTGTGTGTGTGTGTGTGTGTGTGTGTGTGTGAGAGAGAGAGAGTGACAAGAGCTATATTCAGAGCGCTGCTGCCTTGGCTACAATCTTTCATCGTTGCTGTTGTATGATTGGTGTTTAACTACGGTATTTAGCGTCTACAGCACCTCCGCTTTTAGGGTTGACGTAGACCCAAACGTTGCCCGGAGGTCCCACTGTGTTGTTGCGGGAGCTGCTGCACTAGCTAACGCTACACTAGCTAACGCTACATTAGCCAAACAAACGCTAATTTATTTTGCAAAAGGTGCAGCGGGCTTTAAACACGTTCCCCTCCCCTGGTTTCAACCAAGCACTAAATTCGATGTTTTCCAACCAATAACGGTTGAACTTACACTTCCCCATATTTATTCGAAGATACATGAGTTTCTGACTGCCGCTAGCTGAAGCTTGGTTGCTAGGTTACTAGATGGGTGTTCTCCAATAAGGGGCCGGCGGAAACAAAGTTAGTGATTACTGGTTCCATGTTGATTTATTTCAATACAAATTGTTGGGGGGAACTGAAAGGCTATTACCGTACTGGTTACTTTGCAGCCCGGACATTTCCCCCAAAACACATTTAGACGCTATCGCAACACAGAAGTACCTTTCAAATCCGATCATTTTTAAGACCTTCTAAATCATATTTAAGACCTTTCTTATTTTTTTGGCCATATTTAAGACCTTTTTAAGGCCTTAAATTCATATTATCAAATTTAAGACTTTTTAAGACTTTTTAAGACCCCGCGGGAACCCTGTATTCATATTGCAAATACATATTTTAACCAGGAAGGGAAGATGGACATGGATATGACCCATGTGATTTGCAATATTGCAATATATCGTATCGCAATACTTAGCATATCGTAGAATCGCAATACTATCGTACCCTAACCCTAACCCTAACCTACCTAACCCTTCCTAAAGCTTTTAGTCTACTAACCCATCATCCAAGGGTAGTTTTCACCATCTGTAAAAAAGAATTTTTGGACGGACACTATAATTTACAGTTTTTTACTATGTAAAATCTGAATTTTCTATATTGATTCTGACACTTCTACATCCAACTCACAGATGTAACCTTGCTTTGATAAAAGAAATTATTCATATAACCCTTTTAGAAGTTAAGTTGTAGTCATTTGTTTTGGGCATGTCATTTTCGAGCCTGAAACATGAAAAACAGGCTAGGTGCTTAACAGGTTAAGAGGAAAACAGGCTAATTTCACGAAAACCAAGCAATTGAAACTTAAAAAGTATATTAAAAAGCCAAACAATAAGGCTCCTCTACCTCAATAAATGCAAGAGATGCAGCATTTTCTCAACAATGTATAATTTACATTTCTCATCTTCCTCAGACGT